AAAAAAAAAAAAAAATGCACTCCAATGCTGCATGCAGTTTCATGGATAGCAAGTTCAAGTAGGTCCACAGATGACAGCACTATAGCTATTTAAGTTCCTTCGTGTTCGATTAAAAAAGTCCCTAAAATTTGAAAATTACCCATCAGATGAACAAAGCTAGAGCATGAGACCCTGTTTTTGTAAACCACATGTCGTGGTGCTCACATTATCTGTGTACTGAACAGCTAGGGCAGCCCTTGAAGATTTGGTGAACCGTGAAATCTTTGGTCTCTTAATTTATGGGTGCCTCCTAAGGACATGTACAGATAGCAGTCTCAAACAAAGTCTTGCTTCTGAGATATAGCATCTGTATCATTTATTCATTTTCTTTTTGTTATGAATACACTTTGTTCAGTTGTATCTATAATATATATATATATATATATATATATATATATATATATATCAGTGACCCTAATACATATATATATCTATGTCTACTATTTTATGCTAATACATGTAAGTAAAGGTTACTTATGCATGCAACATTGTATGTTATGGTTTCTGTTAAGTTTTTTTTTCTATCAAGTTTGTTTCCTTTTTCCCATATATTACATAGGGGTTTTATAGGACATGTATTTTGAGAGTCATATAGAGATCAGTACACTAGTGCATTTACTAGTGACCTACTTATGGATAGATAACATTATTGATCCAGCTTTAACTTATTGGGAACATTTACACTAGACAAAATTTAGTGGATTGAGTTTTGACTCATGTTAAAATTCAAGCCTTGGGCTGTACAGATACATACATAAAGCATGTGTAATTTTTTTCTTAAGTGATATATGGTCTATTTTTCTGATGACAAAAGCTAACAATATTTGAAAAAAAACTTAAACAATTTAATCATTGTATTTTTTACTTACTGTAATGTTGAATAAAATTATCCCACAATTAGTCTGCAAAAAAACTTATACTAGACTAAGAGTACATCTCGAATTACAATTAAAATGATCAAATTTAACATTCTTGTTCACAGTAATTCATGCAAAAAGTACATACAGCTATTGCTCCTTGCCTGCTTGAGATAAATGACATTTCATTAGTTTAATTGCCATTGCCATAGATTTGTTTGCAGTCCACCTGTGTATATGTAGTTTGAATGTTGCTTCCACTGCACACATCCGATATTAGGCCTGCACTTACTGATAACAGATGCAGACATTTTCTCCATACCTCTCATGACACAATTTGTTATATAATGTGTGCACACAATGAAATTTTTACCTTCCTGTTGTTGTTTAAATTAACATTTCTTTAGCTATTCAAGTTTAATTCAACCTGATAATAGCCTTAAATTTGGATGATAAGAAATGTACAGTGTAATTTTAAGTAATGAAAATTAATTAATTGATAAATTGAAATCTATGTATAGCCACATGCAGCTTGCTGACATTAAACCTTGTTTCTTTTTTTCTCCATCCAGCACATTAGGCAGCTGTTGAAGGAAGGTAAGAAGGTGTACCACTTTGGTTTTGGTCAGGCCCCGTTTCCCCTTCTTCACTGTGCCGCTGAGGGACTCCGGGAGCATGCAGAGGAAACGGCTTATCTTGCCACGCAAGGTTACTTTGATTTGTCAAAATATGGGAAAATGATATCACTGGTTGAAATACTTTTTTCGTTGTCATTTACTTAAAGAATATCTTTAATTATTTGTTAGGTTGATTGTAAAAAAAGATGTAAATTACAGTGTATATATGATATATCAAATTTTGAGAAGCACCAGTAGAAAATTGACATAATTTTTTCTGTCTGGTTTTGGTTTACATGTGGTTATCCAAATGAGTGAAGCACAAATTAATCAATACTTGGGTGAATTAATTGGATTTTTGAAAACATTGACTTTTTTCTTCTCAGGTATAGCAGAGCTGAGGAAGGGTATTAGCAGGTTTCACAGCAGACACGATGACCTTGACATTGACCCAGATAATATTGTCGTAGCTCCTGGAAGCAAGGAACTTATATTCCTGCTAATGAGTATATTCAATGGAGGTAAGAGGATTGTGCAGGTAAATTGCACTAGTACACTAGTGATTTTCACTGAGCCACTGGGTGTGCATGGTTTAGAAATTGTTGTGAAGAATCAGCTAGACCTAAAGAAAAGTGAAATCCCTTTGAAATTTCTTTGTGCTCAAATAAATCAAAATTAAAGGCAACTCATCAGTAATCCTCAAAGAAGGTACCATATAGTTACTTGATTACCATTGGTTGTGTTGGTTGACGCATGTTAGTTGTGCAGGTTGAGATAAAATTGAATGTGTTAGTTGAGAAATAAGTGAATGTGCTAGTTGAGATAATTGAAAGTGTCAGTTCACATTTCAAAGGTCCACTTTAATACTAGTACAGATGTAATACAGGTATGAACCTGGCACCCTCCCTTAGCTCCTCAGGTACACCCTTATCCTCCTCTCACAAAAATACACAGTGTAACTAGTGAAATGGGATAAACCCAGGAAATTTTTCCATTCCTGTGTCCTACATAACATAACATTGCCCATGTGTACTGTTTTTCGAAGAACAGTGTAGATCATGAGTCGCTGAACATAGTGAGGCAAATTAATTCTCTTAATCCTTGTTACCCCATCCTTTAAGCAAAACTCGTGCATCAACCAGTGCATTTAGCAGCAATGTATTACATGTAGTGAATTGATACTTATTAAACACAGATATTGCATGCACTTACATGTACAATGGTAAAATTTTCAGTGTATTTTACTGTCTATATTGTCCACAGACATTCTGATCCTGTCTCCTGCATGGACAACCTACCAGCCGCAGTCCGTGTTGACACATCATCGTCACTTCCTGATAGACAGCTGTGCTCAGAGGGGATGGAGGGTCACCCCGGAGGCCATTGAAAAGGTAACGAATTAGGGATGAATTATGGGAAATGCCCATGTGCTCATTGAGTATATACTGCGCTACATGTTAATACAGTACTATATACTACTGTACATGCCAGCCTGTAGACACTGTGCAACTCGAATGTCACCTGAATTAATTTACCATTAGAATTCAAACATATCTGCTGGAACATATATTTCTTTCATTGGTACATGTATTAGTTAAACTGTACTGGCATTGCCTAATTTTAATCTTTAAATGTTAAAACTCAAACACATTTCCTTTTCCCACAGTTTCAGAGTTAAATGAGTACAGAGTTTAAATGTATATATTTTGATAATATAGTACAATGTTTGTTTCAAAGCAACAGTGTAAGTTGTATATTTTTGTCATCTAGACTGCTATATTTTCATAGTTTGTTGATCTGATTAGAAATTCAAGTAAAAACGTAATTATTGTATTTCTGTTAATTTTATTATTTTCTGGAGTTCGACTTTTTTTCTATTAATTTATACACGCAGGTGGTGAATGAAAATGATCTCAAGCAGAACCGTCTGATGATCATGTGTAACCCTGATAATCCAAGTAAGTTACGGCACCCTGAAGGTTTAGTTTACGTACTCTCACACATTCATTAGTACTAAGAGAAATGCAGGATAATACGATGCAAACAGGTGCCCCTGCATCAATGTTTACTACATGCAGCTGTTGGTAAATTAATACAAATATGGGAATAGAGGCAAGAAACGTTTTGACAGAGTTATAACTGACAGTGTGTCAAAAGTCCACTACCAGTAAAAGTTATAAACTGATATCTGTATACTGTTTCTGCAGCATTTAAGACAAAAATATTGAATTTCTTGGAGCTATATTTCAGCCGATATTTTGGGTATAAATGATAACATATCATATTTTTACCCAAACAATTTTCTTAACTATGAGGTTGAACTGCATTATGACTCATTTTAGATAATAAAATGAGTTTTGTAACAATTTTTGAAAGATTTATAGTAGTGTTGGAGAAAGTTATAAATACTGACAGCTCATGTAGGATGCGATTGCGCCTTAAAACCTCAAGCACAGCTCATCTTTACGTACAAGCACACTAGGAACAGACAATTTACAATGTCATAACAACCAGTTTGCTTCTACGTCTGCTACAGGGGGGCATATAATATTACATACAGGATCCCCAGTTGAGAAAAAGATGCCATTCCCATAATTTAACACAGTTGTTCTTGCTATTATGGGTTGGGGAGGGGGGAGGGGGGCGGGGGGAGGGGGGGGGGTCTTGCCTGTCTCTCCTCTAGAAATGTCCCAAATTTCTGGTTGGACACCTGCTAGAAATGTTCTAAATTTCTGGTTGGACACCTGTGAGTCTTATTTATTTCTTGTAAAGTAATGTTTTTCACTGTCATTGTATTGACAGATTTGAACTGGCTTCCCTTCCTTTGCTCTTTTAAGATCAAAAAAATTTGTTTCAGCATTGCTATGTTGATTGAGTGTAGAAGTCTGAACAAATAAATAGTTTCTAAAAAGATGAAACATTTTAAACCTTATGATCAGGGTTGAGCATTTTAACCCTGCCTTAATTCATGACAATGAGCTCTGGAAGTTTTTACCATCGTTATTTACAAAAGGCAATGAAAAGACTACAGCACCAATTCAAGAATTGTTTGGGTATCCACTTCAGAAAATGCAATTAACTTTGGACCTATCTAATCTGATGTTATATTGAGTAAGTGTTCAAGTTAAAAAATGCATTTGGAAGCATATACATGTGTAAGAGTATAACGTGGTCTTATGCCATTGATATTGCCTACATGAACATGATTAGCAACACTGATTGTTATGACAAACTTTATTTTTTAACCAAATTAAAACACACAATTACATACTATATACTAACATACTACTGAAATCTATGTACATATTTAGATGAACTTTTATGAAATCTGCTGGATTACATGATTGTACAAGGCTTGAGCTTCCACTTGCATGATTTTAATTCGAAACATTTGCCAGCGGAATGTATGTATTATTATTTTGGCTTAAAATGTAATAGATGAATAGATATATTAAGTGCTTTTTTTTTTTTTTTGCAAAATGCATCTGATCAAAATGTTTTTTTGTTAAATTGCTTTGGTTGCTGGCTGAATTATCATGCCAGTGTGAGCCTTGCCTTGGCTGTAAGCTGTCCTTTGATTGGTCAATTTAATCAGTTGTCATAACTTGTGTCTGTATGACGATGCCTCGTTATCTACTCTTGGTTTTTCAGCGTGAAGCAGGAAAGGTGTATGAGATATTGGTTCATATGGCTTTGTAGTCTGCAGCTTATTTATTGGGGAACATGTTAGAGAAAAACACAGTTCTTGGTCAGAGAAATTAAAGGGGGTGGATGATGCAGTTGAGGGGGTTGCTATCAAGGACCAATAATCAATTTTCTTTTTGACATATTTTGTTGAAGGAGGACTGTATAGAAAAGTTTTTTTTTCATAAAGATAAGTAAATTAAAATGGTGTCAGTAGAGTTACTTAAGTGAGAGCCCCATAGTCACCAGGCCATGTACCCAGTATCAACTGAAATAAATTTTAAGTGACTTGGACAGGGGAGGTTATTCTGAAAATCACTTTGAAAGTGTAGAGTAAACATGCAACTGCATATATCTCACATTTGTAATTGATCTAATAACATGCTTATGTAAAAGTCTGCTGTGAACTTTTCTGTTGTCTATAATGCTACATTGTAGATATATACTGTTATTTAATACAATGTAAGTCTGCAGACTATACAGTCATAAAAGGTTACAATGTATATAATGTGGAGGCTTTAAGAGAAAGGACGATCCAGTTTTGGATTGTCTACTGCGCGTACATGCCAGATGTGGTGCATTCATGACGATCTGCAAGCACCTGCAAGCGGATCGTTGCCGGCTGCCAACTCTGCATGATACGTGTCACGGAGGCATGCATGACGTGCCTGCGAGAGCGTGTCCCCTTCCTATTGCTATGGTTTCTTTCCAGCTGGCGTGTGCTACACAAAAGCCCAGCTTCATAGAATCAGGTTACTTTTTATGAGCATTTTGTTTTTTGGTGTATTTTAGTTTCTATGGTATTAGAATCTATATAATGTGTTAATATGGTAAAGAAAGGGTGAATTTTTAATTAGAGTATTTATTACTATTACAGATTCAAAATCATCTGTTTACTAAATAGGTAGAGGCAAAGCAAAAATAATAAATAAAATAATTAGTGAAATAATGACAAAGAAATAAATAAATAAACAATAAATGAATGAATAAATGAACAGAAGTGGTGTTTATATCTTTAAAGGAATCATTTGATGCAATTACACTTTTTCTTTTCCTCTTTTATCTTAAAAGGTGATGATGATTATTGAAATGTATGGAGTAACTTCATCTGAAAGTCCTTTCATACAGTGCTTTTTCTTTCTAAAAAAGTCGTCACATACTTCCCCTATGGATTCAAAATCATGTTTAGGTATAGCAAAAAAGAAAGTAACAAAAACAAATAAGAAATAAAAGAACAAAGGGAATTATGGGAAATAATAAAGTAATATGGTAAATAAATAAATAAATTCACAATTCGAAGTTGACAGGTCATTTTTCAGTCATTGTTAAAAGGTAGTAATGGTAATTAAAATGTAAATTCAGATAAGAGTTTCAAAGATATTTTATCACAGAATTGCTTTTAATTTGCTTCTCAAAAAAGTTGAAAATAAATGGTGACTATTGTTTTGTTGATCTCAGAATGAATACAACATTTTTTAAAAAGAGTAATCTTCTTTAGATGTGCGTGGAACTCTTTTATAGTTTTCATTCAAAATTAAAGGGATAATAACTCTTCATATGAGATCTATATTTCACAATAAAAACCTTGTGAATAACTCATAGAAATATAATATATTCTGTTTTACCACAAAAACAGCAGTTATAGCTATTATTCTGATATCTGAACTTGTCTTTAGACCACGTGACCTCCATTGATGTCTATACTCTGTTAAAATCTCTTAAGAGATTTTAACAAAAAACCAAACTTTTTAGAAAAAAACCAGGGACTAACTTTGAATGTAAAAATGAATTCATTAACCATTGGTAAGTATGGGAAAATTGATGTTTACTCCAGGAAAATTCATTTTTTGGCCAAAACGAAGAGTTATTATTGCTTTAAGATAAAAACAAATTTGATAAATTGGATTTTATTTGGAATAGTATTATTTTATGATTTTAAAGCTTAATTTAGCAAGTCTTAAACCAACTTAAATCAAGTCTGGACTGCTGTTTGTCTGATGTATATATGTGTATGTCATAAATGGAGGAAAATACTTTTAGTCCATCTTTTCTATATCAATTTCATTTTCATATGTTTCTTAATTATTAAATCTGCCAAACCACCCTCATTGCCAAAACTACCATCCAAGTATTTAAAATGAGTCAAATAATAATCTAAGAACTGATAATTGTTTATTAGTCTTAATTTAAGGTAATATAACAGTCAGTGTAGATGTGTTCACATTACACTCCAAAAGAACGTTTGTTTATTTTGTTGTTTGTTTACTTTTAGTGAGGTCTGCCGTAAGCACAACATCATAGTTCTCTCCGATGAGATCTACGCCAGGACAAAGTTTGATGGGAAACATGAATCCATTGGAAAGGTAAAAGAAATTAAAGGAAATGGCTTCTTTGTTTATACATGTATTTCTTTTAAAAAATTGAATTTGTCTGAGTGTATAGTCAATTTTGATTATGCTGTACAACTGTAGTTCATTCTGCAAAGACTTAGGTTAAACTTAATTAGGTTAAACTTAATTATAGTTAAACGGAATAAATTGAAAGTTTTTTTCACCAGGTACAAGGCAGATAAGTGTTTTGTTGCGATATATATTTCATGTGTTTTTTCACATCAGGGGATTAAAAAAATTGCAATTCATGGTGTTTTGTTTTCTCAGTTTTATCCTGAGGGCACCATTATCAGCACAGGGTTATCTAAGTGGGCCAGTGCTGGAGGATGGAGAGTAAGTTCACAATGATGTTTTATAACAATAAGACCTATAATGTGTATGTGTGTGATTTTGTGTGCATGCATGTTACATATAACATATGTTTTTACACTGGTGTCCATATTTGAGAGTTTTTCCTTTCCCATATCCAGATGAGAAACAGATTCACTGTTTTTTTAAAGATTTTTCTGATTTGATTAAGAAATTTCTATCAAGCTTTATGGGCAATTACTCAGGTGACCAAATTTTATTTGAAGGCTAGAATGTTATCAGTTTTGTGGTATAAGGTTCCAGAACTATTTTATAATTGTGATAAATAACATCAGGTTATGACCATGGGTTAATGCACTAGCTTAAAAGAAGAAAAATAATATTTATATATACATTTACATCTCAATTAAACTCATAAGATGAACAACTAGTAATTTTTTTTGCCATAAATAATTTGACTCGTCATCATTTAGAAGCCTCTCAATGATGACTCTTAAGCAAAAGATTTAATTTCAAATTTTATAAATTATATCATACACTGTATTTAGCATGGAATTTATGATGTCTCATTCTTCAGCTTGGTTACCACATTTTTCCTGCCGAGTTAAAATCCTTAAGAGATGCTGTTAAAAGTGCTGCCACTCACAGTTATTCCTGTGCCCCTGCTCCCATACAGTTCGCTGCTGCTAAGGTGAGTATAGTAACCTTTAGCTTCCATAATTAATGGCTGCACACCTATTGTGAGATTAGAGTATCCATTGGCTCATTTAAGATCACATGACCTCTGCAAGCCTTTGGAATATAACTTCTGAGTACATTCTGTCATATATGGGTTATAAATCCACTAATACCCTCAGAATCAGGCAAAATTTGTACATTAATTTGTTTGAAATATTTAAATGATGGATTGTGTGATATTTTAAATGTGGCTGTGCCAGTAGCAGCAACAACAGCAAGTAAAATATGTTATTAGGTTTATTTTGTTTCTGAATTATAATATACGTGTTATCTTATTTTTTTTACATAAAAGTTTAAAAGATTTTAATTGATAATGGTGTAAATTAATGTTTTCCTGATCGTTTTTTCCTTAAAGCAGGTAGAAAACATATGAAAATGATAATTTTTTCTAATTTCTAGATGTTCAATCACACAGAACACTGCGATGACTATATTTCTCACACCAGACGCATCTATGAGGCAGTGGCAGAGCACACATACACGTATGTAATATGATATCTTTTTTTGTCTTGAATCATATGGTAATGACTCAATCTTTTCAATAGGAAAAATTAGGAATTTTACAGATAAAGTATTTTTGTAAGTCACAAATTCTTAAAATCAGAATATTCCTATGAAAGGTGGCAACACAATTGAAAAGCAGGTGACCCAATAGTTTTATTATATGCAATAAAAGCACCACAAAGTCTATATAATAATAAATTTTAAAGGTCTTTCATAATGATATAGTATAAGTTTCATCTTGCAGTGAGCTGACCTCTATAGGGGTAAAATGTGTGAAACCAGAAGGAAGCTTTTACATGTTTCCAGACTTTGAAATTCTGCGGCCCGCCCTGAACCGCAGAGGCATCAGGACGGGGGCGCAGATGTGTGCCGCGTTGTTGGACGAAGCAGCTGTCACAGTAAGCATTTTTATCCCCTCTTCACATGCATCAATAACAAACATGTCATATAAAGCCTCATGTATATTGTTTGATGCTTGGACAGTTTTGTGCTAATTTTTATCATGAGGAAAATGTCAACAGTACTTCTGTTTTAGGTTGTCATTTTTAATGTCGGAATCGATAAAGACAAGTAGCTTTACTGGAGATTGAGACAAAAATTACTTGGGGACATTTTCAAATATGTATAGAAACTGTAAGATACCTTCCAGGTTGTTTTTATATTGACCAAACTCTAATTAAATGTTCATGATTGTAAAACAAATGAAATGACCTTTATTCCAGCTGATAGCTGGTGGTCCTGCCTTCCTCCGCCCAGTTGAAGAGCTGACCACTAGGCTCTGCTTCGTGTTCTTCAATGGGAAGGTGGCACTAGAGGAGAGCCACAGAATTGGCCTGGACAAGCCACTCCCCAGGGATTTTGTCAAAGAGTTTTGTGTGGATCTGTATGAGGGGATACAGGTGAGGGGTTTGGTGTTATCTTTTGTTCTATTTGGTTTTTACAAAAAAAACTCTCAAAAGAAGTGAATGTGAAATCTTTGTTATCATTTTAATATCATGTTTTGAAGATTTGGCATTCAAATTCATTGGATTGCACGAGTTGCATACAGTTTGAATTATTCAGTGAGTTGCCACACAAATGCAATTCGCTATTTGCACCTGTTTACACAGACAGAGGTGGATCCAGGGTGGTCACATGGATCGCATGCCACTCACTGCCAGCTTCCCCTAATCTTTTTACATATTTACCCTTTGTTGTAAAACTGGGGCTCCCTTGTATGTTAAAAATACTTGACTTTTCCAAAAGCAAATTGAAGAATATGAAAAGCATTGCAAATTGTCTCAAAACAGTTTTTATATTACGTCTTGTATTTCAAAATATTGATGTGCTGTGATTTTATTTTCAAGGCACTGAAAGACTGGGCTCTTAAGCAGCTTCAGGATGCTCCATTGCAAGAGAATTGTAAAGAAAATGGAGATGCTTAGTAAAAGAAGAAAAAAAAAAGAACAGAAACCAGATGTTATTTTGCCTTGGAAGTTTTCTCAGTCTAAGAGAAAAACTGATAGACTGATAGACAGTAGGGCTGTTGGAGAAATTTCTCTCTATTTTCTCAAAAAATTCTCTCTCTCTATTTCCTTAGCAATTTCTCTATCTCTATTTTCTCAACAACTTCTCTCTCTCTCTGTTTTCTCAAAAATTTCTCTCTCTATTTCATCAACAATTTCTCTCTCTCTATTTTATAAACAAATACCGATATGTTAAGTAAACTGCTGTGTGTGACTTTACATAAGCTGCACCTATCAGGATCATATTCTTTGTAAATGGATTCATTTGGAAACGTGATGGTACATATTAATTACTTTAAATTCTAAGGAAAAGAAACTATCTTCAGACATTTTGGTGAGGGGTTACATTGGTTTAGAATTTGTCAAAATTGTGATTTTTCTTTTACTTATGCACTGTGTTCATGTATTAATCTAACACTTAAAATATCAAGAATGATTGTAATCTGTACTAGAATTATGTATTCTGAAGAAATGAATCAACAAATTATTTATGACTAAGTATAGAATATGTTGCAAAGAAATTTTTTTGATGAGAAACTGTATGAGAACTGAGGAGGTGGTTTTTCAGCTATTTTATCCTAGAGCGGTTGAACAGAAACATTTATTTATTTGTACTACAGTGTCACAGTTTGAAAAAATTACAATGGCAGCTGTGGCTATAGCATGGGGAAGCAGTACATTTTAATTTTTTGCAAAAAGTATTTCCTGCCTCCTAATTAAGGTATCAAATATGATGTTTTTTTTTTTACCAATATTTTTATTTGAGTCCTCATGAACTGTTCATTAAGTCGAGCCAATTCTATGATATTTGATGCTTTATAGTAATAATTGTATTGATGACAACAGCTAATATTATTGTTATTATTTAATAATGACAAGTATTTATTTATTGTTATTATGTTTAATGGCCATTTAAACTAGTATTAAACNTGTTGCAAAGAAATTTTTTGATGAGAAACTGTATTTTCATCATTGAATTAAACTGAGGAGGTGGTTTTTCAGCTATTTTATCCTAGAGAGGTTGAAGAGAAACATTTATTTATTTGTACTACAGTGCCACAGTTGAAAAGAATTACAATGACAGCTGTGGCTATATTAAGGTGAAGCAGTACATTTTTATTTATTTGTTTATTTATTTATTTATTTATTTATTTATTTTGTGAAAAGTATTTCCTGCCTCCTAATTAATGCATCAAAGATGATGTTATTGTACTAATATTTTTTTTGAGTCCTCATGAGCTATTTACAAAGTCGAGCCAATTCTATGATATTTGATGATTTGTAGTAATAATTATATTGATGACAACAGCATATATCATTGTTATTATTTAATAATGACAAGTATTTATTAATTGCGATTATTTTTAAGTTTAATGGCAATTTCAACTAGTATTTAACTACAATTTATTTTAATTTTATCAGTGAACTTGCTTGATCTGAAATCATACCAAAATAAGACTATTATGATAAATTGAAAATAAGTTAATAAATAAAAATATTTATATTAATTTTCCATGAATTGCTTCTTCTTACAAACCGTTTCTGATGAATAATAGTTAGTGGCAAATTAGCTATAAATCTTGTTTCCTGCCAACTTTTTATATAGTTAAGAGTCATTATTATTATTATTATTATTATTATTATTATTATTATTATTATTCAAAACTTGAATATATATGTTCAGTTTACAAGTTGCTGAAAACTGTTGACCGACTCTTCATTAGTGATCATTAAAATGTTTTAATTATTTTAAAGTTTAATGACACTTACAAAAATGGCTATAAATTTATTTTAATTTTTTTAATGGTTAATTTATATGTGAATGTGATAATACATGTATGTGTAATGAGATATGTAATTGTGTATCTCATATTGAGATTGGATAGTGTGTTTGTGTTAAATGTGATATACTGGTATAGGATATACTGTAGCACTGTTTCAGTTTTTGAAGGAAAACACTGCACAATAAACAGTTAAGATTTAGAAGCACCGTCTCATGATTAGTGTTTTGAAGTGTTTTTCGTTCATTTTTACTCACTGGTGTTCCGTTTTCTGTGAACAAAAGGGAAGCTATGATGCCTCAGAGAGCTCCCCTTTCACCTATATTCGATGCTTTATTACAAGGTTTGATATGAATTAGTTTACGAATGGTGAAACTAATTTTACAGGAATTTAACAGCTGGTGACATAAAAATATTCAATTTGTTAAAGAACTGAGCGATTACTACAAGATAATGGAATTGGATAGGGTTAGCAATGATATAAATACCAGTAACCAGAGATTAAAAATTATCAAAAAGATACACGCAAAATGCAGATGGCGCGCATGCTCCCTGTTTTAATGAAGCTTCCGTCTTTTGTAATTTCATAAACAGTCTTTTAGGTCTTTTAATTTTCACGGACTACTATTCTTTATTGTTGATTTGCTGGAGTATAACGAAGGACATGGTTTGACATAACTTGCCCTTTTTATATCTTTTAAAGTCGCTATAAACCTTATACGCTGCATACCTACTGTATAAGGTACATGTTATGCTCTTAAGACTCTAAAAATGTCATGTAAAGGTGTTATTTAAAAATGTTGTTTAAGTCCAAAAATAGCCTTTCTCTTACGCGTAAATTCTCCATGTCATGCGTCTTGAGACCATACAGTGCATTTCGACCTATTAATCTGTGTACAAGAAGGTGGATTTAGAAGGTGTCCGGAAAGTTACTTTATCTTAATCCCAAAAGTATTAGATATCACAACTGCGCGAGGTACGTGCAATCCCTAGGAGGCTAGGTATTTCTTTCTGGAAGTTTAGAATTATTTCCTCATTCCAATGTTATGGTAAACATTCGAGAGAATTCAAAGTCTTGCGACCTCGAAGTCTCTCGTAAAAGCGAGCAAAAACTGTCAGAATTTATAATTATTCCTGGTTATATTTCTGGTTTTCAGTTCAGTTCTGGCGAAATCGTATTATACACAACGTATTCACCATATTTTGCTCGTTGCTTTTGCATTGTTTTCTAAGACGATATTCCCAGGACTTGAACACTCATTATAAAGGTTATCCCCAGCTCACGTGTGTTCTGGCGAGTTTTCTACTCCTGTATGACGTCGCACAGTGTCAGCAGCCTCGTTTTTAGCTATACTGAAGATTTCCTCTGATGACCTACTGAAAACGGATTATTTGATTTTAAAAATAATCAATTTCTTTACTTAAATACTTACTCAAAAACGTTGCCAATGACAAAATTGTTCTGTACCAAATACACCTTAGACACGCGGACTCCTAACTGCAAAAAAATAAATATTCTGGAGACTTTCCTACAGTTTTGAGGTAATACGCTGAAAAAACTCAAGCCACGAAAAGACGCAAACAGCCGCAATGATTGGTACGGACAAACCCTCGAATAACACAAAGTTAGTTGATGGGTGTTGTGAATTAGGGTCAGCACAACAGCAACTGTATTTCATTAATTCTACATGTAGGCCTACTAGTAGTCTCCTTTTTGGACGTGTTTATTCTCCGTGGTGTGTGTGAGTGTGTTTGTGTCCGCATGTGTGTGTGTGTTTGTGTGTGTGTTTTGGGCAGGGAGAAGAGGTTATATAACCTTTTTTTGGACAATGAAATACTGCATAAACCTTATGTACAGTTTTTCTAGTTACATGTAGTTCACAGGTTTAATTAATGTTTAAAAGATATGAAAACTTTAAAGGTCTGAACATTGCACCCTCATTTAAATTGCTTCTCCCAATCGATAGACGATATTGTGTTTTTTTCTTTCATTTTTTTTTAAATTTTCATTTGCCAAATTTTAGACAAGATTTCCTTTTTTAAAAGTGCTTTGTTTGACATTTATCACGCAGAACAAATCTCCGTTACTTACTTAAAGAAATGTAGACAATTAAATTAAATCAACGCAATATTTGTTAGAATATTTTTTGCACGATAGGCCTTATATATAGTTATCAATGAAAATATTATCCGCCCGTCTCCTTCCGCATCCATCCCCTCACAAAGATAACCGTGGTTTATCGCCCGGTTGTATTGGCCGGAGTTGTAGCAGTCGTACTCTCTAATTTGATTAATTAGGGGACTCGTATCAAAAGAATATCGGGAGTGATCTCATCACATCCCCCGCCTGGGTGGAAGAGACTGCCAAACATGCCTCCGGCGGTGAGTTCGCGGTCACGTCACGCATGGAAATAACACGGAAGGTTAAAGTGCTTGGTGTATATTTAGTTAGACGCGCCTAATACTTTGTTTTAAACAGATTTAGAGAGCGTAATGTTACTTTTGAGACCAGTTCGTGTGTAATACAGCATGGGGGTATTACTGAGAGCATGAGGGGGTTTGAAATCTGGCTAGCGGTATGCTGGGTGACGGTCAGCTTGGAGAAGAGGACGCTGGCGCTGGCGAAAGGGGGATGTTTTGAGGAGTACGCCGAGGTGTAAGTAGGACATCCACTACTATTATGATTGTGCATGGCTCAATGTTTGTAACAGAAGCACGGTGTTTTGGTATTTTTTAAAAGAAGGTCTCTCTCTTTCTCTCTCTCTCTCTCGCTCTCTCTCTCTCTCAAAGTGTTTCATGAAATATGATGTGTTTAAATTCCTCAAGGTGACTCGTAATATGTTAATTGTGTTTAAATTACTAAAGGTGACTCGTTATAAATCAAAAGATGAAAAGGAAGATCAAGGAAGTCATACCTGTAGTCGTTGCACATGCCACTGGCGTCCGCAATTGTACGCACTCTGCATACATTTCTTTCAAAATGTCTCTTCAAGTTTCTCGCAAAAGTTAATTCGCAGTTTTGTCCATGATAGAAACTAGCACGCATCCAGACGCTGAGGACAAAAAAATTGATGTAGTTAGCATACCTGCTTATAATCGGTAACCAGGATGTCGATAGATATTTCTGCATTACCTTATGATAATAAGGACCCCTAAA